CCTCCTCAATGCTTTTCCCAAAATAATAATAATAAAAAGTCCAGAAATGGATGTGGCATTGGAAGAGAGCTGATGTGGAGGTCCCATTTCAAAAGGACTGAGAAGGCAGAGGGGTCAGCTTTAAATTACATTCAGAGAGTGTGCCTCAAGGAGGTAAAGAGCCAGTGATTTTTCTGGATGGGCTGACCTTGCACAAAAGCCCGTCAGGTGGTGTATTTAATGTTCTTAAAGCTGTTCCCATATGCTCTATATGTTTTGTTGCCAACACTAGCCCTAGACAGAGGCCAGTAAATTCAAGTTTTTCTATTCTGGCAGTTCTTCCTAAGTAGTCATGCGATATAGAAATGGGAAATTTGCTCTTGATCTTAGCTGATAACTCACATCGTAACTCAGGCAAAACCACAGAGTAATCTTTTAAAAGATTTAAGTGTATCTGTTGCTCAACATATATTAATTGCATTTCTATCACAGTGACTAAAAATAATTTATTTCCTACTACTATCAACAAAAGGCAACAAGACACAAAAAGAGCATTTTTCCCCCTCGTTATAAGAATATCAGAAACCTGGAGCTAGTGACTGCAAGCTATTAGAAACAAGTGTAGTGAAAAGTGAAACCACACACTACAGCATGAAAAGTGTATTAACCACCTCCAAGGGAAAGTGATGGGGAATTAATAGATCCACTTAGTGCCATAGGAGAAGGTATTAAAATCCACAAAGGTGAAAAAGGCCACCTTAAACCACCATGGCAACTCTCAGAATCACTAAAGGAATAGCAAGGCTTCAGCTGCTTTTTCTTTTGTTGCATGACGTATTCGTCAAGTTATGAGCATTTAAAGAAATGCTCTAGTCAAGGTGGAAAAAGGAGTTACTAATCAGGAGCATGATTAAGACTTATGAAGACTGGTGAACTACAGAAAAACAGAAGGAGGGGCACAACGCCTCCTCTCGCCCCTTGCACAGTGTATGAGAAGGCACAGAGCACTTGTCTTTCTAAGAGAGGCAGCTGAGAATGACCATTTACTTCATTTTGCCTATGAGGCTATCAAACCATTTGCTGCAGTCTTGTGGAGCACAGTTGTTAAATATTTCTTGAAAATAATATATCATCTTTGGAAGGGGTATGTAATACTAGAAGTTCTAAGTTTCACGCATTACGTTAAATAAATCTGAATCTCCTGTGTACCTCAAAGATCCTGCATTAAAAACTAGCACATCAATCTCCTTCTGACTGAAGAACTATAGCAAGACTAGCAGTGCATTAGTATCCAAAGATGCTAGAAAACCTAGCAAGAAACTAAGTGTGTTGCTGCCAGAATATTTGCGAAAAGCAGTCGACTTGAAGGAGATTCAGAGAAATACTAGGAGCTCTGTTCAAATATTTATTTATGAATCCTGCTTGCAGTACAAAGTATTTACCAAGAGAAATAGACTCGGCACAGGTGAACACAATTATCAGCTAGGAGCAGTAGGAGTTCAGAGAGAACACAGCTGTCCTGACAAAATCTAATCCCTTTTTTTTTTCCCCTTTACAGAATCACATCTGAGCAGAGGAAGGAAATGGAGGAGATGTAATGCATTTGATTTTGTGAAAGAAAAGCATATGATACTTCCAAATACTGTCAATGGAAACAAAAAGCTTTATTCCCTGCAAATGGCAGGGAGGCATCCATGTTTTAACTGAAATGCCTAACTCTCCTTGCGTTCTTCCTCAACCTCGGGGCTTGCCAAGGGAGGTGCTGGGATGTGGCCATTCTTCCTCACTTGTGTTCACCCTGCTGATCAGAGAGGGCAAAAACCCCAAAGAGAGTTACTTCTTAAATGGAGTTCTAAAAAGCCTACATTTTTCAGTTGGTCAGCTTCTTTTTTTTCCTGAATGTCTTGTTGCTTAACTTGAATATCCACATCTGAGCGAGTAATCCTGCCATATGGATGTTTAATGAACTTGGGGGAATGTCCAACACTTCAAATCTATTTCTTAAACACTGCCTTTTGAAATAAGGATTGCTGCAAGGTAACCCGTAGTCTAGGATGGAACAGGAGAATTCTGATACAAACGGAGTGTTTTAAAAGTAAACATTCAGAGCTTTTAACCTTGCATATGGTTCTCATAATCACACTACTGTAAAGAAGCTTTAACTGGCACAGAGGTGGGATATCATGGGGACTGAGGTCTGAAGTCCTTTTCCTTCTGCAGTAATGCAAACAACTGCAAGTATAATGAGAGCCTAGAATAAAATGCAAATTTGTAATTCATTTTAATACTTGGTTCAAAAATGAAATGTGCATTTTTTCTGTTAACAGCAATTTTCAGACATTCACATGGCCTCTCTCATTTAAGAAAAGATTCAAAATTGGCTTTGAAAATAAGTAATGAAAGTAATTCTTTTCCTAAAGTCCAGTCAAGGGTAAAACGGGGAAAAAAGGAATGAGGAGAAAAAGTTCTTCACTGAGATTGGCCAAGCTTTTCACAGCCACAAACCACTTGAAACACTTTCTGCTATACCCTGGTCTTGGGAAATAAGTAAAAGCTCCTTCTAGAGCAACACAGCATTTGGCAAGATCCACACATCCTTTACTAAATGTAGCAACCTCTGAGACAAAATGTGATGGCTCTTTCAGAATAGACATTGTTAGAATAGTCATCAAGAATAAGGAAACTTATACAACTGTTCTCAGGTCTACACTAATGTATTCTTCTCTATAGAAGAAGAAAAGGAAGGGTAAAAAACCTAAAAGCATCACCAGGTCCATTCAAAATAGGCAGGAGAAAAATATGGGAGAATCTTTTAGGAAAGAGAGAAAGGTGACATACAAGCAAGACAGTTTTCCCATGTAAGAGGAGCACTTGGAGTGGTAAAAGAAACGGCTTCCAGGATTACATAAACCAAAGTGCCAGACTGGAGGGCTACTCTCCAGAAAATAACCACCTTAATTTATTTAAGTTTCTTTATTGGCTCCTGCAAATGAAGAGAACTAAGATTTCTCCCCAAACCCATGTGGTGGGAGCTGCAGTCAGGAATCGCAGAGAGATCGCACCCAGGCAGTGATGGGCAGAAAGGTGGGAGCAGAGCCGCAGGATCGCTCCTCGCCCCGCCGCCTGGTCCCTTTCCCGCCCAGCAGACAGGCCCAGGGCAGACCTCTGGTCTCTGAGGGGCAGTCACTCAGCCATTCCCACGGAATACCATTGCAAAGTTCTTTGCTGCTGCCTCATCATACCCCCTGCCCTTCTTTTTTTCCTCTCCAATCTGCCAAGTTTTGTAAATATTTCATGAATTGCCGACATGCATTACTGCACTAAAATCTTGCTAACAATAGAAACCGTTATTACCCTGCACTGTTATGCTACATCCTGCACAAGGTCATTCTCTTTTTCTTCCTTAGAATCTTTGCTCCCAAAGGGAAAATGCATTAATGGCAAGGAGTAAACAGCTGCCTGCAAGCAGCCACAAGAACAAGAAAATGGTGTGTTAATTACAAGCACTGATAATGCCAGTCTGAATAGCATTAAAAGATGAAAAGCAAATTTGGATTAAAAGAACAGTAAATAATAATGGTTTTCAATCTCCAATATCTGGACTCTACAAACTGCTACTTCAGCCATTATGGCTATTGTTATGGCAAAAGAAAAAGACTTAAATAAAGCTTGTTGACATGTTTGTCAGCTGCTCAGAAGACATCAAATAGTTCATCTTGATGATGGGTTGACAAAATATTGCACTGAATTACATGAGAAAAAGGCAAAGAACATATTCTTAGTATAAAACAAGACCTACTTTATATGTCAGAACAAGAGGATCGCAAAAGCTTTTTACAACTTTACCTTTTGTTGCCATCATTACAACCCAACAACACTCCCAACAGCTTTTTTTTTTTTTAGGGGCTAAAAATAATATATGACTGAATGAACTGAAAGTGAAATAAAAAACTGCACAAGGTTCCCTAAACTGTGATTATGTCAATTGAGTGGAGCTATCTTCCTTCTTGAAACCACAAAGCATATCATGACCACAACGGTGCTCCTATAAAACAAAACTTGTAGTGAGCACAAAGCAATGCTCTGACAAGTCCTCTGTCATAGCACGAAGGCTCTGCTTACTTTGAATTCATTAAAAGGGATTATACTTATTTCTGTATTAACCGTATGTAAACCAGGAGTTGAGACACCTGTGGCTAAGTGGGCATGAATGCTCACTTTTGCTAAACTCCCACTATTCTGATGGAATCTGGCAAATAAGGTAGTCAACCCTTTAAGCAAAGCTAAGATACTTTTTTTAAAAAAAGACTTCAGCATTTAGAAAGGCTCCAATACATCTTTTATGATTTCCTATTATATTGCCACCAGGATCCTTCTCAGTTGTTCCAAAGACTTTGTTCAAAATAAGACAGCATTAAATGTGTATGAGCAGAGGAAAAGGAATTACATGTATTGGAAAATACCTTGCATCCAGGGCTAAATAAATCTGTCATCTTCAAGTTCCTTATACAAATACATTTTATGTATTTCATGATTCTGGAATTGTATTAACTTAAGTATAACTATATACAGAAAATGACTAAATAAATTTCATATTTAGTTTGAACAAACTAAACTTTTTCTGGTATCAAAAATCCCTTTAAGTCAAAATCTAGGAAAATAAGACCATCTACACAGTCTTCCCTTGGGCACTAGTTTACATTTGTAAATTTAATTCTAGATTTTGAATTTACTCTGAACTAAGTGTGACAAATCTATACATTTTTTCATGCAGGTTCATTAATTATTGGAAGATTTGAAATCACTTAAGATCAAGGACCCTCACTTCACCTATAAGCCATATATATGAGCTAAGGTATTGCTGGAAACTGTAACAGTAATTTCCACTGCTGGATGCAGAGCTAGGGGGTTCAGTAAGGTCTATTACATGAACAAAATGCACCAGGATCCATTGAAATAACTGTAGGAAAAAAAAAAAAAATCCTGCTTGGCTTTTTCCATTAACAGGCCTGATAGAAAACGCTTTATGAAAGAGGTGAGATTTCTTGTTCCCATTGCTCAGATGCTAATAGCAACATGGTGATGTGCTGCCATCAGCAGCAGGAACTCAGCCAGGCTATTAAGTGTCATAGCTAGCAGGATTACTTACATTTTGCAGCTGGACTCGGCTTTGTGCCATACACTCTGACTTTGCCATCATGCTGGAAGCATTTAGGCTGTAGGTTTTCCTATTCTGTGTTTCTTTCAGCTGTTCATGAATTTGCTTTGTTTGTTTCCTGCAGACAGAAATAAAATTCATGTAAGAAAGAGCTAGTTTGATCTTCTGCTATAGCCATGATATTTTTATAGCCATGGTTCCCTTTGTTCAAAACTTCACCGTATTAGATTAACCAGCTGAGCTAATTCACTAGTGTCTAATATTTTGATGCAGTGGTCATTTTCTAGTGAGCCTTCAGAAAGGAAAAAAAGAGCTCTTCTGTTTAAAATACCTTCTATTCTCAGATTACTATAATAGCATGCTAGTTGTTTTAATGCAGAATTTTGTAAGACCATCTATTACATATTTAACAATAGCTTGCAAGTAGGCCTGAATATTAAATAAGCATTTTGCTCTGATTTGGAACAAAGATTTTGGCAAATACAGCAGGCATTCGCCCCTGTTGGCTATAAAAACTGTTAAAGAATCAAAGATTTCTGCTAGCTGATTAGACTCGACCTATAACCCAGTATTCTGTATAGACCAGCCTTTGCTTACATGCTTAAACCTGGAAAAAATCATCAGTACGGTATCTGAGGCTGTGTTTTTGACATATTATACTACGATCCACTATGTCAGAGCTAGGAATACCACTAGATGAATTATTTGCAATATTCAGGAGATAACTACACTAGTAATAAAAGCTTTCTGTTTCTGCCACACTGTATTGACAAACTGAGTTTTAAAGTACATGATTGAGGACATGAGGCAGCAAACTTTATTTTAAATATTTCTTGTATCATCTGCAAATAGATACCTCAGCTGGGCAAAAACTGTTAGCAAAATCTATTTAAGGTCTTTTATCAGTCTCCATTCTTTTGATAAACTACATTGTCTGACACTATCAGTTTTAAATGATCATGAGAAATAACTCCACAATACTATTTTAATTCTTTCCTTCCTTCCTTCCTTTTTCTCTCCAGCAGACGCATCTCCAGCAGCGAACCTACAAATGCCCTGGAAACTGCCCAGCAAGGTCAAGGACTTGCCAGCAACAGCAGCCGCACTTTGATATGCCACCAGCAGCTTTTGGATAGCAATTGGTACAGAGCCAAATTTCAGAAGGAAGTGATTTCAGGGAAGTGTCGATAAGAAATAAAGGAAATATAGTCTTTCTATACTGAAATCTGAAATTTTAGCAAAGACGCTTCAGTAACATTTTGAAAAATTCCTGTTGATTTTGCTGCTGAAAGCCTTGTGACATCATCAAGTTTGATAGCATCTTACTTGACTCAGGCAAATGATTTTCACACCAAATGAAGCACAAAAGTAATTTAAACTTCTTTCAGTAGAGTCGGTGTCCAGCGCAGGAAAGCGTAAGAAACCAGAAGAAAATGATTGACCTAAGTGGTCAAGGGGGGAGACTGTGAGAAAGGACAAGTTCCCTGATTATGAAAGCAGGCAGTGGGAGGTATCCCAGTTCAGTTATTCAATTTTAATAAAGTAGTTTTTAATATATTAAAATAAATATATGGGATTTCCTTTGCCTTTGAGTCCCCTAGTTCTGATTCAGCATTGCACAATTTAAGCACTTGCTTAAATTCAACAAGCTGTAAGCACCTGCTTAGAAGTAGGTATTTGTTATAGCACATTTCCTGAGTACATGTATAATAAACCTTGGACTCTGTAAGTACCTCTTATGCTTTCTATTTACATCCTATTTTGAAACAGCACCACAAATGAAAAAGAATTAATTAATTTGTAAGCACGTTACAAATATGAGTGGCATGTTTTGAGTATAGCTAGGAGCTCATAATTAGTAAGATTTATGAACATGGCTGGGTGAGGAAATAATTTCTCAAGCACAAAAACTTATTAAACTTTCAAAATTCTTCCTTAGCCAAAACAACTTGTAAAGTTAATATCAGGATAATCTGAATAGAAATATAATCTGAAGGATTAGAGTGTCAAATTAAATTAATTAGCCAGTTGATTCTGAAACATCTCTTTTAAAAACATGTTTTGATATCTACTAGTTTTTGAAAAAAAAATCAAAAAATTTAATTTGTGAAATGTCAAAATGAACTCTTTAGCTTCTTATAAAATTCTAGGGGAAATTAATAAAAGCGACTCTAGAGTTTGTAAGAATAATTATTTTCTGACCAGCTAAATTACATACACTGAAGAAACAAGCACATATATCTGTATGTCCTACTGGAAAGCCAGCCACTTGCATGTTGGTCTCCATAATGGTTATGGAACATCCAGTCTTTTTTGATGGCTGTTTTTGAGTGAAGACTTCATATAAAGTCTAAACAATGACAGCGAAATATGATCACAGAATCAGACTTTGGGAATCTCTCCTATACATACAATGTTCTTAGAATTTAGAAAATAACAAAGCAAATTACAAATTTTTGGAACTCTAATTTGGATTTATTTATAAAATCTGGGTTTAGAGTTGTTTGTACATCTATAAACACATATAAGTAAACTGGAATATTCAGCTTCACTGCTGCAATCATTAACATTACAATTGAGATTCCCAAAGGTAATTTACTGAGAGAAACACTCAAATAATTAATTTCCTTTTATGTTCATGCAACCTAACATTAATATCAAGTTTATGCATATTCATTTTGCCAAACTATAGGATGCACAGTTATAAAACTAGAAGCTATTAATAATTCAAAGTTACTCACTGATTAATATATTTATTTTATAATTTTTGTTTTCAAAACAAATGGGCCTTATGTGTTCTACTTTAGAGATATTTGGCAACAAAGCATTATTACTTCAGCAAGAAATAAAGTCATTAGTCATTTATAAAAGTCTAAGCCATAAAGAGCAGCCCATTACTGTACTCTCCCTCTGTTGCTAACACTTGCAGCACTTTCTTGATTACCCTAAAAGGAATAATTGGAAAGGCATAGTATTTAATAATAATTCTAAACTTCCTCAGAATGAATTTATTTTAAAGAACTTTTAATTTAATGGTACATAGGGAAGTGCATATTTCTAGCAGCAGGTATTGTACAATTGTCAGACTAAGAAACTCGGAGTGAGCGTCTTCATGGAAACTTTTTTCTTAAAGGGTTGCACCATGCAGAGTTTCTGTAGCTGTTAGCAATATTTTACATTTTTGATACATCGAATTAAACCCAGGGATTATCACCCATGCAAGAGGAATGCTTTGATAACTCTTAAGGCATGATCAAGACACATCCGTCTGATGAAGAAGCTCCTGAAAATCTGTTGACTAAGAGCTAACATATGATAAGGGTTGAGGTACTTGAAATTTGTGGGTTTTTACACCCTTAAGACACTGGCCAATGTCACAGTTACACGATACTGTCTTACGTGGCCTCTATGCAACCCAGTCTAGACACTTATCTACTTTTTGGACAATTTGCCAGATGGAGCCACAGCCAGGGAGTTAAGAATTGATTAGTATTTTACCATTGCTGTGTTTCATATATTTGATAAGATCTCCTGACTGAACTGGAGGTGCTTATTTTCTCATTACTCTTCAAACTTCAGTTCCAAGAACCTGGCATAAGCACACTTCAACTCTTGCCCGTAACTCTGAACTATCATATGTATAATGCAGATAAAAACCCAAACCCAACACCCCCACCTCCTGCTGAGATATGAAGTACCACTGTCCTGTGAGTTCATCTTTGAAGCATTATTTCTACTCATTATTTTTAGACATAGCTCTCCCCACCAGCTCATCAAAGTCACAGTATTTTGAAGGCTGTTCCAATCCAGCTCTCCACCACTCCCTACAACAGTGCAAAACCAAGAGGGGCACAGCTGAATAACTGAGGGACATTTTATTCTCACTATGCTCAGGTGTTGACTGCGTGTTCTTCCACTGACAATCCTATTCTGCCTTTTCTGAATCTCTCTTCACCAGCAAAAATCCTAAGCCTTTCCAGGAAGACTAGGAACATTTTATTCTCTCTTTCTTTCTTCTGCAGATCTAAAATGCATCATGACATTTCTAATGCAGTTGCAAAATGGCTGTCTCTGCTCAGAATTTATACTACAACCGAGGAGTTTGCAGAGAGGAACTGTCCTGCCACAGAATCCTCCCAGCTAGCACCACTGTCATACTCTAGGTCCAAAGAACAATTAAATAAAATCCCTCAAGACATTAGAACAGGTAGGAGTGTTTAGATAAGACATGAACCAACTCAAATCACACACAAAATACCCCTGAATTTTGAGGGGAAGAAAGAGGGGGAAAAAAAGGTCTAGTAACTTTTCCAATTTCTTTTTTTTCCTGACAGAATGTCATTTTTTTTTTTTAAAATAAAAAGTACTCCTCATGAGATTTCCTACCCATTAAAATAAATTCTAAAAAGGGGATTCAGATAAGCATCCAAACTTTTAAATAGTGCAAACCTCCACATTTTTGAATGCTCAGCCACCACGACTAACCTCATGCAGGTACTATTTACATTGGTATGTGTTCTCTCATTAGCTCCAGCTGGAACAGGAATGAAGGATGACAACTATATGGAACATATTTATAGATACAGTGGCACTGACAAGCATGTCATGTAATTGCTATGAGGTTTTTGCAACTCAAATTACACACATAACAATAAATATTATAAAATAATGTTCAGTTGGGAAGATAAAGAATATAGCAGAAAGTGAGTAAAATAGTTTAGTGCAGGTGATTCCACCATACTTGGGTAGTTCAATGTGCTTGTGCATTACATACACCCATTATGCAACTACATCAGCAGTTTACTATTAGTTACAGGTTACAGATATCTGCAGAGCTTGGGTCTTTCTGCATTCTAACTTTACCTTTGTTTTCAGCATACAGAAACAAAAGGGACATTCAGGGATATGAAATGAAATGCAAAAAGGAGATGGTAAGTTTAAACTTTTATTTTCAAAAGAGGAAAGTGATTATTGCACTGATAGTAATAGACACTAAATTATTATTGTCAAAAAAAGAACTGGAAAGGACACAATCTCTTTTTTCCTGATATCAGAAAAATAGAATGAAGAACACATATTATTACTCCTGTTTACTTTTTTTTTTGTGGACTTGATAGTGTAGCCACAGGGAACTGTTCTAGCCTGTCCAGAGATAACAGCTTCAAAAGGAGGGGATAAACTCAAGAATTGTAAAGCTGTAAAAAGGACAGAAGCTAAATAACAAACACACTAGACGAAGGCTCTTACTTTGTTTTGAAGTAGAACGCTGCACAAAGCATGCCCACTACGACTATGCCAAAGACGATACAGGAAATAGACAGCACCTGGCGCTGGTACACTTCTTCGCTCTCTGTGAACAGCAAAATTGAGAATTATGAAAGCATCAGAAAAAAATACTTGCAAAAAGTGGGTTTCAGCACATCATGGTTTCACTAATGATGGACAGATATGAGAGATTTGGAGGTCTGGGTTGGCCAGTTCCTCAACAGAATGGATGCTTCTCTGAACCTCTCATCTAGATAAGGTTCATAAGAGTTGTGGCCTCCTAGGAAAGTTTTAGAAAATGGTTCCAGTACACAGAGAGATACATAATAATAAAAATCAGAATAGTTTAGTACTTTCTCTGCCCTACATGTTATTTCTCAGCTTTTAGAAAGATTCTACTGTCAATAGGGTAAAGAGCCCTACAACCATGGAGTTTTTCTGGCTTAAGGCAAGACCCATCAGAGGTCTCACAAGGTCCCACAAGATTCAGAGTTCTTTTTTAGTTACCCCCAAAAATGTAAGGTTTTTTTTCTTTTTGATTGAACAGTGATTACAATGCCTTACTCATATGTCATTCCCTGTACCTGAAGCTTATGTACAACATACCACATTAAAAATTAATTCAATCAAGTTGGATGGAACCCAATGACTACTATGCGGCAATGCACCAGATATCGCTTTCATGGGAGTCTATTTTTTTAAAAGACATTTCCTTAATAAATCTCATAATTGTCTAATTAATTTTAAAACAGAAACAGAATGAAAGTAAAAAAAAGAAAAAAGCTAAGAAAACAGGAGAAAACACTCATTCATGACAGCAGACAGAAGCTGATAGGCAACTGGAGTTTCACACACTGAATTCATCAACAGCTCCTTAAGAGTTATGTTTTATTTTTATTATTTCAACTACTTCTCTAGTTCAAAGTGCTAACATGCTAAACAGATTGTTATTTTTTAAGATCAGTTCCTCCAAACATGCAACATACAAAATAGTACTTTCATTCATGTATTTTAGGTAGAAAAGCAACATGTAGGATTACCAAAGCACAGTATAAGCACTGTACACCTACAAACCTACAATTGCTTTCTAGGCTGGAGATCTTCAGTGCAGATCCTGCCCCATCAGTATGAATACCAGACACATATGTCAAGTAGGTGACAGTAACTCCAAGTTCAAGGTTCATAAGTCTCAGGTTCATAAGAAGAAAATATTGTATGACAACATCAAGGTGAATCTAGGCAAATATTGAAAAAAATCTACACCTAACTGGAACTTCAGTCAAATACCACCTTGTGTTATAATGACCAAAGACTATATACAGTATCTTAACCAGTACTAATTATTAATTTCTCAAGAATGAGTATCACAGAGCTGTTACTAAACATTTTGAATCTTAAATACAGCCATTTGTCTCTTGTAAAAGTCCCGGTCCCTTTTCATAAACTATTTCAAATAAAATTACAAGTACCAAATCTTTATTTCTTACTTCTCAAACTTATTTCTTACTACTCAAACACTACCACAGTGATTCAGGAGCCATTTCTAAGATGCAAAATGTCCTCAGCTCCTGTTGACATTTTTCCCTCATTTAATTTTGAAATTCTAAAAGTTGTACTTTTAAAATATTGTCTTAAAAATAAAAAGAAACAAATACAGTAACTTACACTTTTTACATATCTATCTGGAAAGGTTATAATTCAATAGGAAATTCTGATAACATTGCAGTAAAACTGATTCCAGTAGAGCTTTAGGCCCATTCCTCATTGGCATGTATAAAATTTGGATCTAGACAGTAAATCCTCATTGGCAATGAACTAAATGTTTAGGGTTTTAATTTCTTTCTGATTGTTTGTTAGTTTTTACTAGCCTGTGTAAACACAATTCTCCACCTTCCATTTCCACTGCAGTACACAGAGGACTAATCTTACGAAATTTGAATTCTTATGTTGAGGTGGATCACACTGCAAATAGTAAAAGAATTGTTCAGTTCAGCAACTGTCAATCTATTCTGCCTGAATAACAATTTCAGCACCTACTGCCTAAGAACACAACTAAAATATACATACTTATGAACAGTAATTTCACTCAAACATCGCATATAATTAAAAAAAATTTTTTTTAAAGAAACTGATTGAAGTAATGTGTGCACACAGGCTTAATTTTGCTTTTCTTTCAATCTAAGTCCTCATTAAATACTTACTCTTCTTTTTTCCTTTTGTTATTTTTTTGAGAAGTGGTGAGCTTAATGCAGTTGTGGTCTTTTGTTAGTCCTGAATAGCTATCACTGTCTTGTTAAAGATGCTTTAGAATACATCTTACCAAGATAAAAGCAATTCAGAGACTGGACAATATTATCTTGCTCAAACGACTATGTGAAGATTTAAGTCTCTTCTGTAGTCAGATTAATCCCTATCACTAGCTTTCAACACATGCTGATCGATGCTTTCTTTGCTTTTTGTTTATTTCGTACAATGCATATTTAAAGAACTACTTATTGATTAACTTTACTCCTTTTCTTAAGACATCTTTGTTCATTTTTTTATATCCTTTAAATCTTTATCTCTGTATTGGAATCCACCATTTTTTGTCTCTAACATCTTAAAATATAATCAGTTAAGCATTTTTCCATTCTCTAATCTTCCAGACTGGCTTTTTTAAAAAAACCCACCCTCTTACTGATAGAAATGTAATTTGTCTCTCTCTGCAAACTTGGAAGGTCTCCTCACTGTTGCCTTGATTTAACCTCACTATTGCTCTAAACACGTATAGCACAGCTGAGATCCTCTCCAGCCAAGGCGTACTGAATAGGGCCTTTAAGGCAGAAGGCTGTAGCTAAGTACTGTAAAGCACTTTTGCTTTCACAGAGCAGAAAGCTGTAGAAATTCAACATGTAGAAAAGAGAAGAACTGAAATACCTTCTCCTTAGCTGAAGATGTGCATCAACTTGTGCATGCACGTACTTACATATTGAAACAAACTTCCCAAGGTAATCTAAAGTGTGACTGAAATTATGGTAAGTCTCTCTGTATTCACATATATTCATATATTCCTTGTGAAGTAAATCACCTTAATTACATTCTATTGAAATAAATACTCTAGGGAGAGGATTCCTCATTTAATGAGCAGCCAAGAAAATATTTCAGCTAAAAACCAGAATATAAACTGCCACGGATATTCCTGGATAATTCAGCTGAGAAGTTAAGGCTACAGAACATGAATTCTATCAAGTATTCAAATTATACAAAATACATAACCTACGCCAACAGAAATATAACCACAGACTGCAGTGCTAAAAATAACATAGTAAGCTGTTTAGATGCAGACTATTTTGTTTAATAAAAATGATGGAAAGAAAGATCTTCCCAGAACATAAAGATAAGACAAACTCACATGGGACATGAAACCTGTTGAAAGGCTGCGTTCCCATAGACAAGCCCCCATACACTGTGTGGGCTGTTATATGTCTAGCCCATTTTTATTTATACTACTGATTCTTTCTTATTTTCATTCCTGTAACAAAGTTGTCTCTCTTCCTTCACCTCTGTCATGTCACCCCACTGAACGTAAACTTCTTGTGCCTTAAGTGCTCCTTTTTTCTAAGCTTATCTCACACATTTGCTGCCATTATGAAACACAAAATGACTAGCAGTGACCCATGGAAGCAAAGTTTCTTCCAGCCCTCACATCACAGTCAAATTTCATAGAACCATAGAATACTTTGTGTTGGAAGGGACCTTAAAGACCAGGTCTTTGGGCAGGGACACCTTCCACCAGACCACGTTGCTCAAAGCCCCATCCAACTCGGCCCTGAACACTTCCAGGGATGAAGCATCCACAACTTCTCTGGGCAATCTGTTCCGGTGCCTCACCACCCTCACGGTGAAGAATTTCTTCCTAATATCTCATCTAAATCTTCCTTCTTCCAGTTTAAAGCCTTTGCTCCTTGTCCTATCATTTCATGTGTCTGTTACTTAAAAAAAGGACATGCCATGTTCCAGGTACTAGGGTTTGGGGGTTTTTTAATTCCCTTGCTCTTTAAAATTCACTCTTAAAGGCTGTCATCTGTCTGCTTTATGCATGTGGAAAGATCCACTGAAGCATACACATAAGTCTTTAGAGGATTAAAAAGTGTAGGGTAGACACGTTTTTCTCAGGATTGTTACTTCTAAAGGATATGGTAGTTTTATTGTGTAAATAAGCCAAAACTTGCCTCTTCTTTGTGACTTTATTATAAAAGGAAGAACACTGGTACAAGGTGCCTGAGAAACAGCCACATATGTTTCTAATCATGTTACTAAGAAAAAATAATTTAGTTAATTAAAACAGGTTATGTTAGGCTTTGTTAGCACCTCAATTCACAATATCATTACCAGCCATAATCACTGGATCCTTTAGTTCTATTGAGTATTTTCTGAATTCATTGAAATATCTTTGAAAGGTATTTCAAAACTGAGGAACAGTATTGTGCATGTGGCCTAAGCAAAATCATAACAAACCAAAAATAGTAGTTTTCCCCCTTGTGGTGCTTATTTCAGTGGCTCTTGAATAAAATATCAATATGGTCACAAGCACGACAGAGAATAATTACTGAATATTCAAACTGAGCCAACTGAGAAATTACAACATTTACCATACGAATCCATCACTTAAGCTTTGCTCTATAAAGAAAAAAAAAAAAAAACAAATAAATGTGCAGATTAATTTTTCTGCTGAATTTTTTACTTCCAGCCCCAAAAGCACCACAAACCCTAACAGCATTCAGCATTCCCTTACCTTCCTCAATCCCCTCCCCTAAACGGACCTGCTCTGCATTGCTGCAAGTAACAACATACTATAGAATAAATACGGGAATCCCAGTATCTTGTCATTCATATGTATGACAAACAAGTGCTTCCCATGTGCTTTCTCCCATAAATAAATGTCAATGAAAATGTTATGAAAATAATTCTGTGACTTATTTTTCACCAGAAAATTTAGAGATGTTCTTCTTCATCTTTTTCTCAATCCCTGCCATTTATGAGTTAACAGAGGAAGTGTGGCCTAGTGGATAGGAGATAAAAACACCTTTTCCTCAATAAATTACA